CGGAGGAGGAGGAGACTGGGGCGGAGGAGGAGGACACTAGGGCGGAGGACGATGAGGCGGGCTGTGACGATGATGACGATGGGGAGGAGGACGACGAGATCGAAGAACTCGAGCTCGAGCTCGAGGCGCTCGTCGTCGTGGTTGTCGAGCTCGCGCTGGACGTCGTGGTAGTCGAGCTCGCGCTCATCGTCGTGCTTGTTGAGCTCGCGCTCGACGTCGTCGTCGTGGTAGTGTCGCTGCTGGAACTGGCGCTGGCGCTGGAGGCGGAGCTCATCACCATAACGGTGTCAGTGCTCGAACTGCTGCTGGCGCTCGACGTCGGCGCAGAGCTCGTCGCGCTATCCGAGGAGCTCGAGGTCGGCGCAGAACTGGTCGCGCTATCCGAGGAGCTCGTCGTCGTGTCGCTAGTCGAGCTCGACGACATGGCTGAGCTCGACATGGCTGAGCTCGACACAGCTGAACTCGTCGTCGTCGTCGTGGAACTACCGCTCGACACCGACTTCATTGCCTCCTTTAACGCGCGCGTACTCCCCACCACGACGTCCACCTCGACATCCACGCCCACCACATCCACATCTCCGTTAACCTCCACGGAGCTTTTGGTGGTCTTGACACCCACGGGAAAGGTGGGTGCAGGTACAGGGGTCCGGCGGTGGTGGAGCCCAAACAAGCTGCATGGTGAATCAGCACGCCGTCCAAGCGAGGAATAGGGACACAGAAATGAAAGAAGTATGTACGTACGTGTCGCGTCGCAGTTGATGGCTGGCGGCGCAGCGGCGCACGCAGCCTTGACGGGCACTGGCATTGGCATTGGCATTGGGGTCGAGACGAGGCGGTAAAGGTGTAGAGTCCAGGGCCGGGGTCGTGGTCGTGGATGGCGGCGGTCTGGAAATGGATGTCAGGGCGAGGAATGCACGTGAAAATGGAAGGATAGTAGTGGGCGAGATGAAAGAAAGACGGATTGGATCGGGCAATGAAGTGAAATGAAAAGGATGAAGGCGGGACGTACATCGGCGGCGCGGGTATTGATATCAGGGGGTCAGGGTGGGGTATTGGGGGTAATTGTGCGGGTGGGGATGCGGGCGAGGGGGAGGGGGAGGGGGAGGAGGGAAAGGAAGGGTGTGATGACCTAAACAAGATTAAGCACGCGTTCGCGATGCGTGATAGGCAACAAGATAAACGCACCTCGAGGCGGGGGGCGGCGACGATGACGGACGTGGAGGTGGAGGAACGGGTGGAGGTGAGGAGGGGGACGAGCCAGACGAGTGGGATGATGCGGATGCGCCGGGTGGGGATCTGCAGGCGTCGTCAAGTTCCGCATCAAGATTCGCCGGCGCAGAGTCCGAGCTGAGGTCGTCGTCTGAAGGCCGCGTCGACGAAAAAGACATGTCGAGCGCATCCTCGTCTCCGTGTGCGCTGGAGTCTGAGCCTGAGCCATGGCCTGACGCGAATGGTCCAGAACCGGAACCGACGAGCATAGGTTCCTGTTCTTCGTCCTCGTCCACTTGGATGATCTCCGCGTCCCTATCTGCATCTCCCGACACACTGTCATCGCATATGTACATATCAGTACCCACGAAAAAACATCGTTCGTCGTTAAAGCGCACTGACCTGTCATACCGCCTCCGGCGTTGGTGATGGCGTAACGCACGGCATGCCGGATCCAGTGCGGGGTGGGGGTCGGACGAGGATCCAGCCGCCGCGGATGAGGGAGCATCTGGGGCGCAGAGACCGAGAGAGGCGCTGTCACGCCGCGCGGCCAGACGGCGGTGCTGCGAGGACGCAAAGACGCCTTTTCTGTCCGAGTGCATTGGGTTTTTTCGTTGCGTTGTGGGGATTATTGTAGCATAGAACGACTTGAGGTTAAAGAACGTGTTGGGTGAGGGTGAGCTAAAGAACGTGAGACGACTAAGAAAGCCGTTGTACCGAAGTCCAGTCCAGTATGAGTGCAAGTAACCAGCCGTAAACGAGCCCTGTATCCCTTCTTGACTTGGTCCAGAGAGCCTAGGACATGGCGGACGCAAAGAGGATCACTGGGAAAGAAGGAGACCCGTTATGGGAACAGCACAGCCACTGAACTTCTTTGATGCGCCTTGTCTGCCTTTTCTTCTTTCAACCACAACCATTCACCAATATTCCTCTGCACTGGGTTTATACCGGCCACAACCACAAGATCTACCTCCCAGCGTCAACACCTTCAACCTCCGACGACCCCACATCGGGTGTAATTGCTCCCGTAATTTTCTTACATTTTCTTTCCCTCGCTCGCCGAGCCGGCGCCTCGTCACCAACTCGTCAAAAGCCTTAAAAGCCTCCCTCCTGTCGGCCATTTCGGACATCTCGCGATAAATAAAAATGTCGTGGTCGCCTTGCCAACGTCGATTCTGTCGGAAAAACGGCGGCTTTGAAAACTTGTTCATACTCGAGCTCCTCGCGTGGCCTACTGGCCTCACTCCAGTCTGTGAAGTTGAGCCCAGGTTTTCAATCTCTTATAACACTCCGAAACCTCGGCCGCGTTTCGTTGGACATCATTCCTTTCGATCCCGGTATTATACTACTTAGTAGCACTTGGGTACTCAAGTCAGCGTAAATGAGTAAAACCTCCGCAGATCCAAAAATTCACCGCAACGAACGGTAACTCCGCTCTCCGCAGGTGCTCCGCCCTTGCACCGAAATGACGGTACTCACGCACCGACTCGTGGCAAAAGGTCCGCGTCTGAAACCCAATTCAGGTCTTCCAGCAGATACCGCGGTCGATTCGGGCACGACTCCTCGCTCTGCCGGTCTCTTCTTTCTCCCACTCGGTGCAAGTATCGTCTCGAACACACTCAAACTCGCAAACCCCCGGTCAACTAACCGCGACCTTGCTTTTCAGATTTGCTCACCTAACGCCGAAACGACATCACTCAGAAAACGACTCCAGCGGAAGGTCCGCGTCTACTTAAGTGCAGGAAAGAGCGTCTACAACAATCATCAGATCCATCTGCTCCAGGCTTCTTCTTTCCATCCCTCAGGCCTCAAAGTCCTTCTGTTCACAACCCGTCAGGACATCGACTCATTCACGCCAGCCATCCATTCGCTCACCTGGCCGGAACGACAAAGTTGAAACCGACTGCCAGTGGGAGCGGGCGGTTCTCTTACAACACTCCGAAACTAGGCCGCGTTTCGTTGGACACCGACAACCATCTGCCTGCCGTCGGTATAACGTATTATACCACTGAGTACTCAAACTCCCGCATCCCGCTCCACTGCCGGCATTTACCGCAACGAACGAACTCCACTCTCCACAGGTGCTATATTCCCTAACCGACTCGTAGCGGAAGGTCCGCGTCTGCTTCGAATGAATGCAATGCAGTCTTCCGGCAGATACCGCCCGTTCGATTCGGGCACGAGCCCTCTCTCTGCCGGTCTCCTTTTTTTTCCCGTCGCTGGTTCACATCCCTACTCCCTTGGTATCTCCAGGCCCGACCCCCCTTCATCTGTCACTCGATGCAAGTATCGTCCCAAACGCACTCAAACTCGCGAAAACCCCCGGTCAACTACTACTTTCCAAATTTGCTCACCTAATGCCGAAACAACATCACTCAGAAAATGACTCGTAGCGTCTACTTCAAGTGCAGGAAAGACAGTGGACGAACAGATACCGCCCGTTCGATTCGGGCACGTGCCATGGATTGAGCAACACTGTTTTTCTTTTTCGTCTACAACAATCATCAGACTCATCTCCTCCAGGTTTCTTATTTCCATCCCTCAACGCCTCAAAGGTCCTTCTGTTCACAACACGTCGGGACTACCTACTCATTCACGCCAGCCGCTCCACTGCCGGCGTTTAAAAAATTACTGCAACGAACTCCACTCTCCACAGGTGCTGCTCGTTCCCCCCGAGGCGAAATGACAGTGGTCACGAACCGACTCGTAGCGGGTCTGATTTAGACCTCAGCCTCTTTCTCCATCCGTCAACTTCCTCAAGCTCATGAGTTTTCGTATTCTTTCATTCAAGCCAGTCCTGGTCGACGGTAAACCAAACTTCACTACCCGGACTCCGGGACTATAACCGCACAGCTCCATCCACTCACCCAGCGCTGAAACGACCCAACCACAAACGGAAGGTCCGCGTCTGCTTCAAATCTGGTGACACTCCGCCAACACGATTCGGGTACAAATTATATGCGGGTGGTCGGAATTTGATTCTACGCCTGCACTGCTCTCAGACCCCTCCTTCGATCCTCGAAATGCTTGCCATTTTGCATTCGTTGTGGTGGTTTAGTTGCTTGTGCATGCAAACACAGGCAGTACGGTAGCGCACCAAAGGATCCTCCAACCTACACAAGCACCGACTCGTAGCGGAAGGTCCGCATCTACCCTAAATGACGTGACGGTCGATAGGTTTCGCAGGCAGATACCGTCCGTTCGATTCGGGCACGAGTCTTGTGCCCTCGAGTTCGAGTATTTTTCCCTCTGCAACAAAACCACCTCTGCTAAGTTTTCTCCATCGGAGGTTCGTCCCTTCTCAAGACCTCAACTGGATTCAGGTCACAAGTCCTCGGGACAATGCAAGATATTGGTATTCGAGTTCATGGCGCCAGCCTCCATCAACGCTAGATTGAACTTCGTTCCCGAGAAATCTGCCGGTCCATCCATTCGCTCACCTAACGCTGAAATACCAGTACCCCAAAACCGACTCGTAGCGGGAGGTCCGCATCTGCTTCTAATAACTCATTTCCTCCACGCAAGCAGATACCGCCCGTTCGATTCGGGCACGAGTCTTGTATCGCTTGGATGGCAGTTTATTTTATCTTTTCCTTGCAATAGAATTCATCTCTGCTTCAGAGAAGAGAAGAATAAGGAAGGCTTCAAATTCTTTCAACTTACGATCATCGGGACAATCTGTTCGAGTTCATGCCGCCAGTCCCCATCGACACTAAATTCAACTTCTCTGCCGACAAACCCTCAGGTCCGCGCATTCGCTCATGGGCGCCGGAAAGACCCCACCACAAACCGACTCGTTGCGGAAGGTCCGCGTCTGCTTCCAATCAGGTTTTCTCCTCCAATGCAAGCAGATATCGCCCGTTCGATTCGGGTACGAGTCTTGCGTGCTTCGCTTGCACTTTTTTTCTCTTATTTTTCTTGCAATAAAATTCATCTCTGCTTCAGAAACCCTTCTTCTCTTCATTCCCATGCCTCAAGCGCCTTCAGTTCACAATTCCTCAGGGTAATCAAAGTTCATGCCGCTCCTCATCGACGCTAAATTTAACTTCTCCTTCTCTGCCGACGAACCGCGCATTCACTCATCGGCGCCGGAAAGCCCCCAGTACAAAACTGACTCGTTGCGGAAGGTCCGCATCTGCTTCCAATAAGTACATTCCTCGATGCAAGCAGATACCGCCCGTTCGATTCGGGTACGAGTCCTGTGGAAGTGGCAGGTGCTTTATTTTCTCTTATTTTCCTTGCAACAGAATTCATCTCTGCTACAGACCTCCTTCTTCCTTCGTCTTCGTCTCTCAAGGCTTCAAACTCTTTCAATTCACAATTCCTCGGGGTAATCGAAGTCATTGGAGTTCATGCCGCCAGTCCTCATCGACGCTAAATTCAACCTCTCCTTCTCTGCATTCACTCCTCAGCGCTGGAAAGACCCCACCACAAAACCGACTCGTTGCGGAAGGTCCGCATCTGCTTCTAATAAGTGAATACCGCAGTGCAAGCAGATACCGCCCGTTCGATTCGGGTACGAGTCCTGTGGAAGTGGCAGGTGCTTTATTTTCTCTTATTTTCCTTGCAACAGGATTCATCTCTGCTTCAGAGAAGAGAAGAAGGAGGTCTCTCAAGGCTTCAAACTCTTTCAATTCACAATCATCGGACTATCAAAGTTTTTGATGCCGCCAGTCCACATCGACGCTAAATTCAACTTCTCCTTCTCTGGCGCGAAACCCTCAGGTCCGCGTATTCACTCATCGGCACGGAAGACCCCACCACAAAACCGACTCGTTGCGGAAGGTCCGCATCTGCTTCTAATCAGTGAAGTCCGCAGTGCAAGCAGATACCGCCCGTTCAATTCGGGTACGAGTCTTGTGCCGTGGCTGGTACTATATCGCGCCGGGATCCTGGCCACCTAAGGGGTTTGGGCCCAATTTCGATCTTACACAGGGGCCTTTCCCAGGTTTGTGGGCCCTAGTCAATAGGCGTACATCCTGCAAAGAGATTGAGCATATTTGTGATAATTTTGGTGTCGTTTTGAGTGCCCACCGAATTTAATTTCCACAGATTTCCCCAAAAGGTAATTGACAGGCATCCTGGCCACCCTCAAAAGCCCATTATTGGGGGTGAATGAGGGCCCGCACCATTTCCCATAGTGCATATGGGATCCATATAATGTATTTCGGGCACTTATATTATACATTAGGCCTTGCGAAAGCAGAGTAGCGAAGACACTTTACAAAAGCCCTCGGCGGCGGGATCCATACTATCACCGAAATCGGGTTGGTGCGCCAGTGGTAACACATTGTAGGGCAAAATAAGTGACATGGAGGTCTATTGGAACCTAATGGACCCACCTGAATGCATATCTCCACTTTAAAGGTGTACTGTTGAGAACCCGACGTTTAATCTTTTTTCCAGCATCAAATGGGTGGTTTTCTATCTGTACTCACATCAGGAGGGAGAGCGAAGCGTTCAAGGAGCGTAGTATGGATAACATGGATGCTTTACCTATCAGGATGGATAATCCAAGGTGTTGGAACCATAGTTTTCAAGGGTCCTTCGGTATCTCGAATTTAAGAGTTCGAGTGCTGGGTTTCTGTTCCAATTGTATTGGTGAATTTGACTGCGGAGGGCAAATATCGTGCCAGGTGCTGCATACTCAGAAGAAAGCCCTAGGTTTTAGCAGCAGAATGAGCCCCCAAAATCCCAGATCTACTGCGTATTGGTCGAGAAACAAGAGAGACAGTCGCTCGGGGTCATCAAATTGATATTCTCACTCTCCGGATCGCAATCAATCTGGGCACAGCTTTGGATCAACTTATCACTTTAGGTTGAAATTTGGTCTCAAGGTGCGCAACGGGTCGTATTCCATTGTGAAAATGTGAAGGGGACATACTGCACACTCTTAAGTCCTACATCTGGCCTATGGCCAGGTTCCTAGTGTGGCCAGGTACCCAGCGCGATATAGTATGTATTTTATCTTATTTTCCTTGCAATAGAATTCATCTCTGCTTCAGACCTCTTCTATCTTCGTCTCTCAACGCTTTCAATTTACAATCATCGGGACGATCAATTATTCGAGTTCATACCGCCACTCCTCATCGACGCTAAATTCAACTTATTCCTTCTCTACCGACAAATCCTCAGGTCCGCGCATTCATGGGTACCGGAGAGACCCCACCACAACACCGACTCGTTGCGGAAGGTCCGCATCTGCTTCTAATAAGTACATTCCTCGATGCAAGCAGATACCGTCCGTTCGATTCGGGCACGAGTCATGATTGCCAACCTTGGTTTTTCCCTCTGTAACAGAATCACCTCTGCTTTTCTTTCTCCATTGAAGGTTCATCCCTCAACCGAATTCAGGTCACAAGTACAACCGAAGATATTCGAGTTCATGCCGGCCAGTCTCCATCAACACTAGATTCAACTTCGTTTCCGAGAAATCCACAGCTCCATCCATTCGCTCACCCAACGTTAAAATACCAGTACCCAAAACCGACTCGTAGCGGAAGGTCCGCATCTGCTTCTATTACGCATCTGCTTCAATACGCAGTTTCCCTCATGCCATTGCCAGCAGATATCGCCCGTTCGATTCGGGTACGAGTCATGCGTGCTTCGCTTGCACTTTTTTCTCTCTTATTTTCCTTGCAACGGAATTCATCTCTGCTTCAGACCTCTTGAGTCTATCTTCGTCTCTCAAGGGGCTCAAGATCCTTTAATTTACAATTTGTTCAAGTTCATGCCGGCCAGTCTTCGTCAACTTATCCTTCTCCGCCGACAAACCCTGAAGTCCGCGCATTCACTCATCGGCGTCGGAAAGACCTCACCACAAACCGACTCGTTGCGGAAGGTCCGCATCTGTTTCTGATAACTGAATATCGCAGTGCAAGCAGATACCGCCTGTTCGATTCGGGCACGAGTCTTATGCGCGTGGCTTGCAATTTTTTTCTCTTATTTTCCTTGAAACGGAATTTATCTCTGCTTCAGCGAAGAGAAGAAGAAGGTCTCTCGAGGCTTCAAACTCTTTCAATTTACAATCATCAATTATTCGAGTTCATGCCGCCAGTCCTCACCGACACTGAATTCAACTTCTCCTTCTCTGCCGAATCCCACAGATCCGCGCATTCGCTCATCGGCGCGGAAGGACCCCACCACAAACCGACTCGTTGCGGAAGGTCCGCATCTGCTTCTAACAAGTCAATTCCGCAGTGCATGCAGATACCGCCCGTTCGATTCGGGTCCGAGTCCTGTGCGATTCGTGCGAAGCTGGTATTTCATTTTATTTTATTTCCTTACGACAGAATTTATCTCTCTTCAGACCTCTTCTATATTCGCCTTCGTCTCTCAAGGCTTCAAGATCCTTTAATTCCCAACCTCGGGGTAATCACAGTTATTTGACTTCCTGCCGCCAGACCTCACCGAATTCAGCTTCTCCTTCTCTGCCGACAAACCCTCAGGTCCGTGTTCGCTCATCGGCGCCGGAAAGACCCCATCACGAACCGACTCGTTGCGGAAGGTCCGCATCTGCTTCTAATAAGGTATTTTCTCGAATGCAAGCAGATACCGCCCGTTCGATTCGGGTACGAGTCCTTTTCGAGGTTGGTATGTATTTTATCTTATTTTCCTTGCAATAGAATTCATCTCTGCTTCAGCGAAGAGAAGAAGGAGGTCTCTCAAGACTTCAAAGTCTTTCAATTCAAAATCATCCAGAAGATTAATTATTCGAGTTCAGTCTTAGTCGATGCCAAGTAAATTCGACGCCTCCACCAACAAACCATCAGGTCTGCGTTCGCTCATCGGCGCCGGGAAGGCCTCACGACGAACCGACTCGTTGCGGAAGGTCCGCATCTGCTTCCGATAGGAATATGCAGTTTCCATGCAAGCAGATATCGCCCGTTCGATCCGGGCAAGTCCTTTGCGAGCGGCTGGTAGTTTATTTTATCTTACTTTCCTTGCAATAGAATTCATCCCTGCTTCAGCGAAGAGAAGGAGGTCTCTCAAGGCTTCAAAGTCTTTCAATTTACAATCATCGGGACGATCGATTATTATTCGAGCCAGTCTTCGTCGATGCTATGCATAGCACGTATGTACAACTTCCCTGTTTCCACTGCGTTGGGTAGGTCTACATATGGCTACGTATGTGTGCCAACTAGGACTGCCGCCCGCGACAGTGTCCACGGGCGCCGTGCCATGGGTACCGTGCCCGTGCCGTCGAGGATTTTGGAAGCTCTTCCACGCCACGGGTTCGAGTCGTCACAGCCGTGGATCAAATCCTTCTTTTTGGCCGGTATTGCGGCACTAATTCAACCAAGTATGAGCTTACTACTGTTCTCTGGTATTACCGCTCCTCCCCCTCAAAAGCTCGGTGAGCACGATCTCAAGCGGCAATTCCTGAACTGATGGCGGAAAGATATGCCGATCATACGGCCGCGTGCCGAATACTGCTGGATGTGTCTGGACCCTGTCTGGACCGTAGCCGTACGTTACCCAACGTAGCCCACGTAGCCGCATAGTCGCCGAACCTCGGATCACCGTGCTATGTAGACGCGGGGTAGACGTGCGCGAGACCCCGCGGCCCGATGGAGGAAGATCCTGGGGCTACGCCGAACCCAGTGCGAATTCGTTTATATCGATTGAATGGCGGCCAAAGTTGACGCTACCCAAATTTGGGAAGAAGGGTCGTTGTCAAGTCGTTGTGCAACTACTTGGCAACTACACAGCTGTATTATTTGGTTTTCAGTTCCCACAAGAACTTTGAACTTTATCCAACACGCCGCTCTCATTCCGACCGAGCCATTTCACATGTACCTCGTGAAAGCACGTTTCATTTTCGCTTCCATCAGCTCCCGTGGACCCCAAATCTTTGGCGCTTCGTCCGAGTGCTCCCTTG